CATTTTTACATGCTTTCAAACTGTTGGCAGAAGCTGGGACAAGTAACGGGAGCTCACCCTGTTACGCGGCGCTAGGGATTCGAACCGCCAAACTGCCAACTTTTCTGATAGACAAGCTCAGCGTCTTAGCCACTGAGCCACCGTGTCCCTCTGACTACATAATTCATTAAAGAATATTTGTTCAACTATTGATCTTCACCTAAACTCTTGGAAAGAATTTCACCACTATAATGAACAGACCTCCTCAATGTATAGAATGCTCCTACTTAAACTTTTGTGCATTCCACCCCAAACCCTCCAAAACAGTGAGATAAAGAGATATTACATTAGAAAACATTTGACTGGGTTGCTGTTTGGCAAGGTTGCTGTGTCAACCTCGCCAAAATCTCAGATTCCTATAAGAAAATGTAGCCATAGCTGTATTTAGTATTTATTTAAAATGAAATGAAATGATGAAATGGGATTTGAAATTTGAAAGAGAAATGCTTACCGTTGGTTTTTCAACTTTTTCCCAATCATCCTGAAAGATATAAAACATTTTATTTTGTTAGATATCTAATCATTCATAAATCACTCTTGGTTATCTCTTCAAGAGATAAATCATAATCTTTCCTTTAAAAAAATAGGTAAGTGTTTATAGCACAGTATTGAACATAGTATAACACAGCTAATGCAAAGTGATATTAAAAGAATTAAAAGGTACAAAATCACGATGAAATATAAATTCTGCACAGATTTTCTACTGCCTTTGCAATAGCAAAAGCAGCAGTAACAGATATTATTTTGGAAGATAAAGTGCTGAGTTATCATTTTAATAGAGGCTGTTAAAATTAATTCTTGTACAGAATAAGGCGAGGGCTGTTTATATACTAAAGCTGTACTTTTCCAGAGAGAACCATTAATCAGCAGGAGGGCCCATTTACAAAGAATGTAGAATGAGAAATCAAAATATACATCTGTTTTACATATGTTAATTAATAATTTTATTTACATTTTCATGGGGGAGCCCTGCAATTTTGGAATAAACAGACCACAGTATTAAACCAAAGGATTAATAAACCTAACATAGCATTAGCAATAGAAAGACATTGCTCATTAATAATGTTCTCCTTCCCCCATGTCAGGTTACTCTGTTATTTGAATTTATAATATTTCATAATATATTTTGAATATAAAAGTACAATATAGAAATACGTTATAAAATATAACACTTCAATTATTGCACTTTAGGTAAAATGCATTATCCAACTGTGCCAGTATTTGCATCCAGCAAAATACTTTTGAACAATGATTGTAATTCCTGATAACAGGCTATGTAGTGACTGGGTAGTACAAAAATATCTGGAAGAATCTGGGTTACAGAAGAATGTTTTCAACAATTTTAACTTAGCAACTTTTATTGAAACATGAAAACTACAGATAGTCCTCAGCTTACAACAACAACGGAGCCCAAAATTACTGTTGCTAAGCAATACAGTTCTTAAGTGATTTTTTTCAATCTTTCTTGCCACGGTTGTTCAGTGAATCCCTGGAATTGTTAAGTTAGTAACACGGTTGTTAAGTGAATCTGGCCTCCCTACTGACTTTGCTTGTCAGAAGGTTGCAAAAGGTGATCACATGACCCCAGGGCACTGCAACTATCATGTCTATGAATCAGGTGCCAAGTGCCTGAATTTTGATCACATGATCATGCAAAGTCGTAAATCTGAAAAATGGCCATGTTGCTTTTCTCAGTGCCACTGTAAATTTGAACAGTCACTAAATGAATTGTCTTAAGTCAAGGACTATCTGTATAAGAACATGAATATCCATGCTTTTTATACTTACTGGATGAAGCTCCCCTATAATAAACGTTTCTGACAATGCCCGGGCATCTGTAGAATGTCCAACATCTTCAAAACTTTCTGTTGCATCTCCGCCTGCTTGTTCCCTTAGGACTTCTTCTCCACCAGGATGCTGTTAAATAGAAGAAAGCATGAAGATTTCAATATATATATATATATATGTGTATACTTTAGACTCAACAAACTTTGCTGTAACGTGCACTAGGCAAACTGACATATTTTGAGCATAATTTAGCATTCTAGTATTTTAATGTACAATCTAAGTATAAGTACAATCTTTATTGTCATTCTATTTAAATACAACGAAATTGGTTTTAACCTCACTGGTGCAAAAGTATAACAGAAAGAAAAAAAGAAAGAAAAAGAAAAAAAATAGCATGGAGTGATTGTGGTTGTATTTAAAAGCCTCGCAGCCCAAGAATAGAAACTATCTTTAAACCTGTTTGTTCGGCTGGCTATACTTTGATGTCTTCTGCCTGATAGTAGAAATGCAAAGAGATACCGATTAGGGTGTGAATCATCTCTGAGTATCTTCCTTACTCTGCTAAAGCAACGAGATCTGGCGATGCCATCCAGTGGTGTCAGAAGGCAACCAATGGTTTCTTATGCCGAATTGATCACTCTCTGTAGTGCCTTCCTATCTGCAGCTGATAAACCAGCATACCATACTGCAATACGTGAGGACACTTTCTATGGTGGACCGATAGAAAGAGGTCATCAGCCGTTGTTCCACCTGATTTTTTCGCAGGACTCTAAGGAAATGAAGTCTCTGTTGGGCCTTTCCAATCACCAGAGACGTGTTGTTTTTCCAGGTGAGATCTTGACTAATAAGCACTCCCAAGAATTTAAAAGAGGAAACCCTCTCCACACAGCCCCCCTCGATATACAGTGGGGCAGGTTCCTCTCTGTGCTTCCGGAAATCTAGCACCATCTCCTTTGTCTTACTAGTATTTAGATGTAAGTTGTTTCTTGAGCACCATGCTGATACCTTCTGGACCTTCTGAAAACAAAGTTCCTTTTTTTCCTGTTCAGTAATCAACTTTGATCTTTTTTCATAGTTCAATACCACAGTATTACAAATCTTATAATTAAATAAAGTTAAATGCCCATTTAACCAAGCCATTATTTAGTCTCCAGATTTATTCATTCAATTTATGTCCACTGCAATTAAGTAGAATCTTGGTGGTTTGCAATTCATCCATAAACAACAGAATAAAATCTCCACAGTCCCATAAATAAAAATAGCATTAACAAGATAAGGCAACACAATAAAACCTCCATAATACACAGATAAAATGAAGATAAGCAGACAGCAGTTAATACATAAGCAATTACAAAGCAAATAAATTCAATCACAATACTTCATATTCCTAGTGCTCTATTGAATAATTCTTTTTTAATAACTTACAGAAAATTAGCAATGTGGAAACTGATAAAATTTTCAGGGTGAAGTTATTCTAGAGCAGGAGCTTCTGTCTCCTTTATTTTAGAGAGAAGTAAATTAGCAATCTCTCATTAACAAATCTTTCCTATCACATATTAGTTAGCTGGCCCCAAACTATACTTGAAGATCATCCTGCAAGTATCTCAGTATCAAGCCACATAGAGCTTAAATGTTAAAACCCAGAGCACAAAATTTACATTCTCAAGCTGACCTTTACCAGCAAACAAATAGATGTTACACTGTGGGTCAAAAGTATTTTCCAGATGGGTCTTCAAAGTCAGCCCAATATAAAGTGTAAATAAAATAATTCATAAAATAAAATGTAGTTAAAATATTCAAAGAGAAATTATTAAGCAACTCTCACAGTATGATCCACTGTCTGTTTCCAGCATTCATCAAAAATGCATTTGCTGATAACAATATTCCTGGGAGGAAATCAAAATTACATGTTCATAAAAGCTCAACAGAAGAAGAAGAAAAAACCTGTCTTGGCTCAGCAAATGTATATCTGCAGTATAAATTGGCGGCTATTAGCTCAGGGTAGGAATTATTTTCCTATTTTGTATAAATATATTTGAGTTGTTGCTGTATGTAAGAGTTAAGAATTAGTTTCTTAGGGCAGAGATATCAACAACCAATAGTAACCCAGCTACAAAGTCAAAAGAGCAAGGCAAAAAAGCATACTAAACTGTGTGAAAACAAGGAAATTAAGCCAAATGAAAGAAAGACAGCTTAAAATTATAACCAATACATGATCTCTACATTCCATCATAGTCTAATTTCACCAGCTGGCTAGCTTGTTGTTTTTCTATACTAGTATTACAGAAGCCTCTGGGAACAAAGTCCCCTTTCTTTATGGAAAAACAGTCAAGTGCATAGTATGGATTTTCACCTACAGGTTAATCCTCAATTAACCATAATTCAGATTGGAATTTCAGTACTAAACAATAGTTATAGAGGACAATGACATGCAGCTTCATCACTTACTGACCAAAATAGCAGCACTCCCCATTGCTGTCGTTAACCAAATACCCCTGTTAAACCCACCCTGATCCAAGTCATTCCCAGCTTGGTCCCTTCCAGCTCAGACCCTCAGTAAAGTTGGAGTTTGCTTTTTCTTGACTGTCACTCACCTGCCTATCTCCTCCCCATCTATACCCTTTTAGCTGCTTCCCCCTCCCCCCCTGCCACCACTGCCACCACACTCACCTGCCTATCTCCTCCCCATCTATACCCTTTTAGCTGCTTCCCCCTCCCCCCCTGCCACCACCTTTCTCCACTGTCCAGCCTTGCCCCTTACGCTGCTGTACCAGTTAGAGGCTTCTTGTGCCAATGCAGCAGGGGTTTCTCTTGTGCCTCACCTGGGCTTCTATTTGTGCATCATCCTGGGTCTTCTGCGAAAGAAGCTTGGTTTGTTTGTTTATTATTATATTTATATGCTGCCCTTTTCCCCCAAAGGGGACTCAGGGCGGCTCACAACTCAAACAAGGGAAGGGGCATACAGAAAAAAAATTAAAATCTACCCAAAACAATGCATA